TTATTAGCGTCTGCTCTCTTCAGCAACTCCTCCGTGTTTTCACTGTAAACACGGCGAGAAAGTGACCCAAGCACACGAATTAAAACAAAAAGACCGAGAGAGAGAGAGATCTTGCATGGAACGTGTGGACTGTATAAGCCATCGATTTGACCCCATGGATCGCAATCACCGAACGCAAAAGCACTTCTGCAAGAAAGTAACGGAGAATCTGACAAACATAAAATTACAGCCGCGCTAAGTTCCGTCAAGATTTATTTAGGTGAAAATAATATGAGGCTTGGTTTAACACGTCTGCTTTCGCGACCAATATTATCCATAAGAGGTTTTTTGGTGGTTAGAGCGCGTAAAAATATAAATGTGTCGCTAAACCCGCCACCACCCGACACAGCCAATTAGTAAGGTTTGTCACGTAAACAAAATACATGCCAATAATTGGATATTTATGGTGGTGGCGGGTTGAATTTAAATTTACGCGATCTAACACAAAAAAACCTTTATTATAGATATATAAAGCTTACTTTTATTTAATGTCTCCCAGCACATCCTGACCAGCTTACATGAGCCTGACCACCAGGGCTTGCCAGGTGCTGTAGGCGCGTGGCTGTGAGGTGACAGGAGATGAGAATGCTGAGTGTGCACCTCCCGTCTATGCGTAAATGAGTTTTTTCCGGTTTTCTCTCATAATCCAAATGGCATAAATCAAATATCCCAATGCAGGATCTTCCTGAAAGGGTATTTAACATTCAGTGATGACTTTCTCGCATAATAGGCATTATCATTTCATGATTTTATGAATGTTGAGAATAGGCCTATTTTTCATTTTCCCAACGGTAATCAATTTTCTTTGGCTTAAACTGAACCTAAAAGAACTACGAACATAAATGCGAACGGTCTGAGATTGCCTCCTCATCGCAGGGTCGTTTAACTTCCAGCTCGTTTCATTTTGGGCAGATATTTATTTTGAAACTTGGGAGACCGACTGCTCGCAACAAGTAAAAATAAACCAGATCATTATCAATCTCCCTTTCATCCTCTCTCTAGGTTTGGAGCTGTCGTCGCGAGCAACCTTTCAACCCCAACAAACTGTCGCTTGTTAATGAATCGTGATACGTAAATGTGTTTCTTAGTGAATGCTCATAAAATCAGATGCGCACTCTTTGAAGGAATGTGGGAACTCGACCGTCGTGACGAGTTCCCTTCCATTCCGCATCACCTCATGGGTTGTGATTGACAGAGACGGGATCACCACAGACAACAGTTGTGTAACGACGCATCGATTCAAATGAATTAGAAACGGTCATCAAATCAATCGTGCCAAGAGCTATTCTTTACGATGTTTGCAGGCGATACACCAGGATGTTCCATATAGGTTCAGAGAGCACGCGAAACTGGACAGGGCAGAACCGATAAGGAACAATACAAAGGGAGACTTCCAAAACGAGAGATAAAGTCCAGCACCGATTCTTGAATCCAACTGTGATATTCGCAAATCACTGTGGAGATGAACTGCCGCATTCCTGAAACAGGACACTTTGTAGGTTTTGTGATGCCATTTAAAGAAATGTGCACACGGTATGAGCGTAAATGTTTGAGTAGATAATTGTAAAACAAATCGCAACGATTTATTGAGTAGATCGTTATCTCTTACATTTATTGATTACCCTCAAGTCTACCGATCAGTTCAAAGCCCAGTTCATCACCACAGGAAAAGACAAATAACATGCACGAATCAATTATATAATCAGCACTGTGCAGCAGTGTGGTCTTCTGCCGTTAATCTCATACAAGCCAGAAACTAACATCACGCAAAGCTCAAAGAAACTAGGAAACATTTTAAGTGGTTTCACCAAATTAATTCAACAACAAATGAAAATTAGAAAAACGATTATTGTTCTTCAAGGTTAACCTGCAATTTTAGTTCGAGAAGAATGTTAAGTGATACTCACCCCATTGTTCAAGGTATTCTCCTGCTTCACGTACACATTTTCACATGCGTGCTGTGATACCTGAATACCGTAGAAGTGCAGAATCATTGAGGACAGATACTCAGCCATTTCACGTCACCTGATTTGACATCTTCTTGGTTCTTTCGGTAAAGTCGCGTAGAAGGGAAGTAATAAAATAATAAAAATAAAACATAATATTAAATTCTTTTATTTTATTAAATAAAACATAATCTTAAATTTTTTTATTTTATTATGTTTTATTTTTATTATTTTATTACTTCCCTTCTACGTGACTTTACCGAAAGAACCAAGAAGATGAATCCCTGCAGTCACGAAAGCTTTAAATCGAAATGATTTGACATCATTAATTTTAACCGACCATGTTTTAACCATCTGCACCACACACACAAGCACACTTCTGGTTACGAGACGCTTATCGCAGAACTGTGCAGCGGACATTTCCCTTCCAATGAAACTTCATTTACGCAACGATGCACGACAACAACAACACCCTTCACCGCCATCTCACCTTGCCGATGTCGTCGAGGAGCGTAAACCTTCACGTAAACTCCGCTCGCCGTCCTCGCAGCGGCTGTTGGCTAACCACGAACATCCCTGCGCTTTCACAGACGCGCTTCTGCGGCCGTCTGGAACGCTCTTCCTTCCGATATCACTGGTCAACAAAAAAAACATTTTTTTCTAGCCTGGACTTTTGCAGCTGTTTTAGACTAATTTCAGGGTGCTGATTCCAAATCTGATCTCAGATTTGCTCTATTACATCTCATTTTATGCTATCGGCATACCCCATTTTCATTGATTTTACCAGAAATTAACTCTGCCACTTATGATTGCAAGTTGTTGCGAGTCAGTGACTGCTTTAGTGTTAAAATATGGTGCTGTATTTTTAGGATAGTGTGTTTATAATATAATTTTATGTAGATATCCACATTTATTTAATACTTTTCTTCTGCAGTTTTTATTGAAAATGCAATATTTGATATCTCAAAAACCTGATGTGATAGACAAAAACTGATGCCAGATTTGGAATCAGCACCCCAAAATTACATTGAGACCGTTGGAAAACCTTATGCCAGAAAAAGTGTGTTGACCAGTGTATTAGGAAGCCACTGGAGCTATCCACTTTTAAATCTAGATTGAAAACTAATTTCTTTAGAACTGCTTTTTGTGTTTTAGTTTGTTGCCCTTCGCCCGCACCTCCGATAAGCACGGTTGGCTATGTATGGTGCGAACGAAGTTCAACACACGTGCATACACACATCTTGTAAATACCAAGACTGATTTGCGCACCTGTTGCTACTTCACGCAAGAGTCGCCAGATGTCCCTTCTACCACTCCACAACTCTTCAGCAGTGACCTGTCATTCTTTTACGATTATATACAAGTACAGGGTAACCTTGAATTCCCATCATATTAAATAACACTACCACCTCCTGGCAGTTTTGTGGAGACACAAAATCATTTTTAGCACATGAGCTTTTATGTATTTTTTACACTTATAAACGTACTGTTCTTCATTTTAAATAACGAGCCAATGCTTGCACTTTGATGACGGTGCATCTGGCTCCATTCGCTCAATGACGGAGGGACTGCGGTCCCTTTCACAGTGGACTGCCTGAACCGGCTTGAATATCCTTGGAGAGCAGCAGCAATTGAAACGGTGGCCAACCTTTACACCCGTAGCAACACAAAACTCAACGCACAAAGAGAGAGAGACTCGATAAGAAATCTTCGTGGGTGGGGGGGAGCCCAATGGTTAAATGCTTACGCACCACACCAGGTAGGTTACAGGACTCATTTTTGGCAATTTAGTAGGAGGCTCAGGATCGGTTGAGATATCGCGGGGCCACTGATATTACCCCATGGGCGGGAATCAAACTCGGGTGGCATTCTCCACTTATCCTCTTCATGCTCAACTTTGGAATCCCCCCCTATGGTTAACCCTGCTCCATTACAGAAGCGCATTCACTCATCACATATTGCACCTTCGATCGTATGTTTGTTGCTGCCCGCCTGGGATTTTGGGGCCTGAGCTCAACAACTGTACACGTACCTTCAACTTCAATTGGAAGTTACAGAGGTGAGGGTCTTTTTGAGGAGCATCGTGTTCAATGAAACATTGAAATGGACGATGCCAATACGATTGCAAATGCGGCAAGTCCTTTCTGTGCCGCAACTTACACTGCACACAGAGACACTCCCACGAGAAATCCATGTGGGAAGAACCCCACCGGTTCGGAAATGTACAGGAGATTGAAAAGCTTATGGAGCACAAACACCTGCCGTTTTGACGACTGTTTTGGAACCACTCCAGTTTGTGGACACGAGCAAATGAGCAAAGGGTTTCAGGACAAGATTCGGCCTGCATCAGGGGTGGTGGGGGAAGGGGGGGGGCAGGAGGCGCGGGGAAGCTGCTCAAATGTAGGCCAATCAGGAGGGGGGGGGAAACTAATACATGGACAGACTCTTTAGAGAATTTGCTGCCCCAACTCTTGACAAGAGCAATTTAGGCGCGAGCACGTTTGGCCGCTGGCTCTGCGACAGCATCTTTCATCGCAACCCCCGCGAGTGCTGGCGCGGCGATTTGGGCCTCTGACCCAAAGACGCGTGTCAGCACGTCCGTGGGGTCCTCTAGCAGGCCGGACGAGCCGGGGGGGCGGTGGGGGGGGGGTGCCTCTCCGGCCACTCGTGGTTGAGTGTTTGCTCACGACACGTTACAAGACAAAGTGCGCCGGCCGGCTTGACGGGACCTCAAGGAAGCTGATTTTCAAATTTGGACATGATGTGCCGAGACAATATTTAATAGATTGTATCTTTTTTTTTAAATGATATATCCTTTGTCAGTCTACTGACAATACTTGATTACATCGGTGAGTGCGGACTGGTGAAGGAGGAAAGGCCAGGACCGGTTCGGTTACCACTCACCGCTGATGTTGGTTGCGGCTGGAAGTTTAACTTACGAGACCAGGTTCATAGTGCGGTGTGCTAACCATTGCGACACTGCCCAAACCATTCATTGATTCAATTATAAATCTTGCCATTTTATTGTTTCTTAACGCATCATTTAAAGTCATTGAGATTCCCATATATGCAAAGTGAATTAACAAATCAAGTGTCCCCACGCTCAAACGAACATTGAGACAATGCTCATCTCCATTGGCTGCCAGTGGTGGAAATTCCACATTCCTATGGTTGCTAACCAGTCCTACCACAGGGACAACCACCGTCAATGAATAAAATGCTGACAGGGGAACTATAAATTACATTGCAATTTAGGTTTCCTCGCTGTAAACAGCGGAAATAATCATTGGTGGGTGGAGAGGGGGTGTGGTTGGGGCTGCTCTGTGCGAACATTTGACACTGCTGTTAGAAACTGCTCCGCGCACACAGCGTAAACAGTCTGAGCGCGCAGACGACGAGGACGGGTCAGCCTGGCCCCACAGGGCAAGCCGACGTGCTGTTTATAATGTGGCGCCCAGCGACACTCCGCCAGCGCGTGTTTGCTGGTGTGGGCGGGGAGGGAAGGGGAGCCCGCTTAGATGCCCTCATCTTCAGTGGACCTGGACCCGGACGAGCTGGCAGACAACGGAGGCCGTCGCAGCTTGGGCGACGGCGGCGCTCGCGGCTCAAGAGAGCGACCGCTATGAACACCGCGGCGGTGCCGTCCTCGGTCGGTTCGAGCCGACGTGGTCTAATAAAACAAGCGGGCAACGCGCAACGATCACAAAGACACTGGGGGCCCCTTCCAGAAAGTTTCCCTGGAATACATGCGGGGAATGTGACATAGTATTGCCTCGAGGGCTGGTTACAGAATAAACAGTAGCAAGTCAAATAGAGACTATAATGACAAACCGTGCATATCTTGGAGGTCGTTGCTAAGCAGCGTGTGTTTATGTTCACAAATTGCCAGCACTTGACTTTTTTTCTCTCAACTGTTACAAAAAAAATGCATTGTTCCTCCCAAAGTCATTTTGAGCTGCAATAATGGCACTCGCTATTAAGGACAATTACATTCTGTAAATAAATGTGAACCTTACAATACTTGATACAGTTTGAAAATTTTGATATTTTCACGTTGATGGATTGTTAAAAAAAAGAACCCTCTGCATCTTGCAATCAAGGAGCAATCTACTCCAGGCCAGGTAGCTCACAATCGAAAGGTTGCAAGGTTCAACTCCTGGTTGGGGCGGTTGACTCAGCCAATCATCCCTCCGGGGTCGATTCAGTGTCAACTTTGTGAGGAAGGCAACGGTGATTGTCATACGGGTACCTTTCCCTGCCATAGGAATGTGGAATTTCCACCGCTGTGTCGGGGATGTGAAGAGGAGACGAGCACTGCCTCATCGCTTGTTTGAGCAGCACACTCCATGGACCTCAACGTTTAGCTGAAAAAAAATGTCTTTTTAAACGTGCAATAAAAACACACACAAGGCATAAACACACTCTAAGAAACACTTAGAGATGGTTTGGGTCCTACTTAGGATCTTTCGCCTGAAGAGGCTTATAGCTAATCTACTGGGCTTAAAGTTAGGCAAATATAAGGGATGCACGGCTTAAAAAACCAAGATTTCCTTTCCAGCCTTGATCTCGCCTTGGGAAAACTATGTCTGTCCCCCACCCACCCCCACCAAATCAGGGGAGAACCGTTGATTCTCCTGTTCGCTCCCATGGGTAAACATCTGTCAAAACAGTTTTAACGAAGAAGCCAGCATCCTGGCTCAACCTAATTAAAACTTCAGAGAAAACGGGGGGACTCAAATCTGTTAAGTCGCCGCTTTGCTTGCGTCCGGGCGCGCGTGCCTACTTGCTTATGCAAAGCCGTTTCCGGTGAGACATCAAAAAACGGGCCTTTTGGGCCACGCAGTTAATCTCAGATTGAATCGGATTTTTGAACCCAGATGGGTTCAATTCATTCCTAATTTCTACCCCTTTAAAGCCTTCCATCAGTTTAAAGATCCACATCATGGGTGGTGGACACAGACAAAGGGGAAAATAGAATTATTTTCGCTCGCACAAATCTTCATGGGTTGAAAAAAAAAATTTAGCTTCCACAATGTGGAGATGAAATCGGTTTGTACATCTGCAAGTGAAATCTATAAATCTATTTTCATTCAAAAATGAAAGGGTGAAACTGCAATTATCAGCTCAATATTAGGAACCTTTTCCTTATCATTCAGCGTAAGAAAACTGTTTAATAATTTACACATATTGAACAATGCCTTTGAAAGGAACAACAATCTTTTCTTTAACAGTGATAACAAACCACAAAGCTTCACGGCTTTAGGAAATGCTCCTTCCATCACTTTCCTTTTCTTAACGTAACATTCACCAAGAAAAGAAAAACTGGCACAGCGCGGGCGTGACCCCAGAGTGACCCTCGTGTGTCCACCAAAACCTTCGCATGGCCTCCCGGCTGCGGTGATTGGCGGCGGAGGTCACCGTTGGGTCGTCTGCATTGCTATACCAACACAGAGGGCACTCACACGCGGAGAGGCCGAGGGGCTCCTCGAGTAGGGGGGGGGGCAGCCTCTTCTACGAGAGCCGGGGCCTCGTTGTTTGGGTCCTACTGTGCAACGCCCGCCACTCACCTGTGTCACTCCAGGAGACGGGCGGGGGGGGGACAAGGCAGATGGTCCATGACAGAGAGGTTTTTTTGCGTTACATGGCGTAAATCTAAATGTGTCGTTAAACCTGCCACCACCCGACAGAGGCAATTAGTCAGGTTTGTCACGTAAACCAAACGTGCAAATTCGTTACAAGTTCGGCAGACCGGTTCTGTTGGGAGAGTAAATCCACTACAACAGTTACAATTCGAGTACCATGGCTTTTCGCCGGTAATTACAACAACCAGCCCCATCAGGCGACAGCCACAGAGTTGTGGAATATCCTCCTCCTGTTTCGGTCTTAAATAGAGGGGAAAATTGTTATGTCGTCACTTGTAAGCCAATCAGGTGCAAAGACCGGGGGGTGGGGGGGTTAATGTATTCATATAAATTACAATGGATAGCTATCAATGGATGCATTATTCACAGCTAACGGCAGATGGCTTTTCTATTTATTACGACGATGCATCGACGCTTTAAATGCCACCGATTTCAATGGAATTTTAAACACTTTTTCATTGTCCCCGTCGTCTTCATCATCATCATAATCAGCCACGCTGTCTCAGCCACCCTGGTTTCCTCCGACGTCAAAAGAGACAATTGGCCAAACGTCGCAGCGTTGCAGGGACCCTCCTCGGGAAAAATAACCTCTCAAGACTCGGCGAGCTTTTCGTGGGCAAAGTGCAAGGCGATCGCTGAGTCGACTAAACATAACACGTGCGCAACGTGTCTTGAAACACGGAGTCTAATCCACAGCCCTTTGCCAATCCACCGCTGGATGAAGACCCCTCCATGCCGCGTCAGTCACGGGGGTTTTGTTTGACCATATTTCACCACACTCGTCGGTGCAGGTCTGCGATGCGGTTAAAAATGTTCAATGTACGTTAAAGATATTTCTCAAGTCTGTAGGCTTGACACCTTTGCATATGTGATGAAGGTGTGTGCCAAATATATCACAATAACAATAAATACACGCACTAAATAATAAATACCCACAACCAGCATTCGTTGGAAGAAAATGGACAAAGATCCGGGCAGCTGGCAATGTTCTCCGGGGTCACGTGGCAACCGTGCGACCGTCTTCACATGGTCGCCGTGCTTCTTGTTTGCGCATTCCTGGCTCCCTCTCGCACCTTGTACCCGCTGTTCAGGAAGCGACAACTTCAATTACAGTATCTCTTTTCTATTGGCTTTGCGTCATTGTTGGTGACAAGTAAAATGAATAAGAGAAAAAGTTCAATGCGCTCCGACAAAGAAGGAAAGAGGAGAGCCGACATCCGAGATTCCTCCCTTTTTCTTTCTCTGTCCGCTATTATCTGATGCTTCCATCCGGCCGTGCCATGACATTGTAACAAGAAAACAATATTTAAAGGGGGCTGCAGTTCCCTGTTTTGACAATCGTGATGTATTGCTCGAGTCGGTCGACAGTAGAAGCGGCATCGGTTTCACAGCTGAATAATAACAACCCACGGGAGGCAGGCATGACATCACTGCCACATGGGGGCTCGACCACGTCTTGCTTGTCCACTAGGCCGGTTGACGGCTCCAGACGGGACGTAATTTTACAGATTCTGACCGTTTACCTCCCTCCCCGCCGCCACTGCCCCCCACCCTTCTCACAGCGCACTTACCTCACCGGTTAGGCACGTCCCAGTCTGAGTGAGTGAACCCGCGAGTGCTGAAAGTGCTGCGGGCAGAGACGCTGACCGGCAGGGCACAGGGGACACCCCGGGAAAGCGCAGCGGGTCTCCCCCGCAGGACCCCAGCGCCATTCCAGACGGGTCACAGGGGTGCTCGCCGATTATCCATTGTCTGGCGTTTCAATTGAGGGCCCAATTTGTCACAGTCACGCCAGTTCAGAGCAAATCCTGCGCCAGACAATTATCGAAACCCCGTGCGCTAGGCAAGAGTGCGAAAATGGATTAAGTGGTAAAGAAAATTCAGGCGTGATAATGTGGATTTTAAACCCTGAAATACAAGCCGATGATAAACGTAGGGATGTCGTGCTTTGCATAAATCACCGTGGCTTATCCAAAACCCATTTGTGATGGCTTTGGTTGAGGTTATTTTATTATATGACATTATATTTACACTTTTGCATTTTTGTTGTCAGACAGCAAAACTTAAAAAAATATTGTCAATAATTTTTACGTATAATTACACACGTATATTAAATTAACTGGGTGAGAGCCAGATAAAACAGCCGTCTCTTTGACAAGGGAGATTTAGAATATTGAAAAAAAATCGCTCTCAGATGCGTTTTCGGGTTGTACCGCATGTTGTTCGGCACGATGTCCACCGTTTTCTCCAGATGCTGGGACTTTTTTCAGTTCCAGCAAGTGGAGCGAAACGTTGGACAACTTGCCGAACTCGCCGTTCAACCCAGAAACGCATCGCAGAGCTCCGCAGCAGCACAGCCTACGTTGTGGTGAATAAAAAAAACCGTGACAAAACAACCACTGAAGAAACTCTTCTGCCATGCATATCACACACTCATATTGTAAAGGCCCAACACGAAGACATGACAGCAGTCACGGGAGCCACCAGGTCACCGATGACAATAAGTCACCAATTACGACACCTCTGGTAATTGATAGAGATGCCATCATTGCGAGTACGCACAATAAAAAACCTACGGCCGTGTTTGCCAACAGCCGATTAAATTTGCATAATGACACTCGACAGCGGATGCCAGAGTTGACGAATGTGTTGGAGGATAACGTTTTGAGCGTGTTGCCTATTTTTTAAAATTAATTACAACAAAAAAACGCATTAATACTTGCGCCGAGTTATGCAGCGCCTCCAACCTGCATGACTACAATGGACCAACCCATCAGCGTCACTATGTTTAAAAAAGATGGTGGGGGGGGGGGGGGTGAACTTCTTTCGCACCATACGTAGCCAACCGTTCTAATCGGAGGTGCCGGGGAAAACTCAGGGGTGGGGGCACGACACAGCCAATGTCAAAGGAACTCCAAACACGCTGGACAGAATGAGTGACTATCGTGCGTTCTGCCCTCGCTCGCATCCCCCCCCCCCTTCCCCCCGTGTACGTGAGCAAAAGCTGCGACCCCCATTGCAGAATTGCAATCGGTCTCCCCCTCCCCCCAACCGCAGATTTCATGAATTTGCAACGGGAGTGAGGGGGCCTGCAATGGACTGAACCACCGCCATCGGAGACGACACGTCAATGCGCGCGATGTTACACGCGCCCGGACGAAGTAAGACGTCAAATATTTTCCCCTTCATCATCTACTGTCAAAGGTGCCCTTTGGATGTGTCCGCACGGAAGAGCGAGGAAGAAATGGCGCGGGATTTCGTGAGGTTCGCGAAGCGGCAGCACCCGTGTCACCTTCGAACCGTGGCTGGCCATGTCCTCTTACCGCCATTACCGCCGCCACGTGCCAATAGCTGGGCACTGTCGGTGCTGTCCCCCTCGTCAGCGTTGCCAAAATGATACACCACCCATGAATAAATATTCACTTATATTGCTTCTTCCTCTAATTGAAGACACTGCGCTCCTGCACGAAAGGGTCTGGAGAGAAAATAAAGTGTTCTTGTCTTGTCGGATTTACGACCGGTTTTAGTAGTTCTCTGTATTCGTATAACAACACTAACGCTGCAAGTCTCGACTGTTTAAAAATAATATACAGATTAATGTATTAATCTTGATTTGAAGCTTTCGTGACTGCAGGAATTCATACTCTTTGGTTCTTTCGGTAAAGTCACGTAGGTATAAAATAAAATAAATCACGACGTTTCCCACCTGATGATGGACGCTTGTGTTGCGCCCGAAACGTCGTGATTTATTTTATACCTACGTGACTTTACCGAAAGAACCAAAGAGTATAGATTCATGTATTGATTGCTGCTTCTATTAATCAAACTAAACATGAGTATAACATTTGCATGACTCTTTTTCAGGAGTGTCCTGCCAAGCGTTCACAGCAAGGAGGCACATTATTGCTACGTACAATCCTTGATTGGAGTAATTTGCAGGTATTGCGGCAGGGAATGGCCGACTCTTCGTGCCACGGCATCTTTAACGTCCACGGTGAAGCTGGTGGCGCGTCGCATTTCCATCGTTAATTCACCCGCACTATTAATCGGGGCGGCCGCCGACTTCCACCCGGGAATCTCTGCAGCGAGTGCTACCTGCTTGGGCCTCGTCACCGGCCGAATATAACAAAGGTTAAGGCGCAGCCCTGCAATTGCTTGCACACGCAGCCGCTGGCAGAAGAGCATCCATGAGAAAGAGCTCTAAAAGTCCCGACAGACGGTATTCGGCGTATTTTTCCCACGCAGGCCAGACGTCTTGGAAGAAGCGTAAGTATTTGTTATCATCCGTTTTGTTTAAATAAATTATCGTCTCAGCGCTGAAGAGGAACCCTCGTAACTGGCTGAAGATGACCCCCCCCCCCCCCCCCGTAGCACGGTTAACCCATTTCTCTACACAAGCAGGCACAGCAGCACGCCGCCCGGACGCGGCTCCACGCTTCCCTCCGCAGCGAGGGGGCTTCCCCCTTGAGCGTTGCCACGGCGTCGCTGCCTGGAATGCGGGAGACCCACAGGCCCCAGCGAGCAGCACCCATCTGAAGACGACAACACCGGGCACACAGAGGCCACGAAGTGGGGGGGGGCGATAAGGCGATCGGCACACGCGGCGCGCGCGTTCGCAGCGGATGGCTGAGAGGGAGAAGGGTCCTGGTAAGGGGCGAGCGAAGGTGGGGCAAGAGAAAGATGAGGACCTGGGCAGACAGGGGTGCGCAGACTTGGATAAAAAAAAGAGGGAGGTCAGCACCTTTGGCACGGAGGTTACGTCAACAGTAACCGTTTGTGGTTCAAGAGTCCTCCCTTCACAGCACTGCCACTCCAACCACATACCACACTCACCCCACAGCCCCTTGCAGCCAATCTCTGCCCTAATCAAAAGGGAGTAGGATTATCTGGTGCCCGGGACAGACGCCTCGCTGAGAGAGCCACCCTTGGGCCACAAGAATTGTGTGTGCGTGCGTGTGCGTGTGTATGTTTAAAGACCTCACAAATGAAAGGCTCTTTTTTTCAGTGGCCCCGTTTTGAGCAAAGTATTTTAAATCACATTTAATCAAACCTGACTGTTTTTTTTGTTGCTCTGCCAGACCCACGATGACCCGTTAATATCTTGCAGAAGACGCACGTGGCACAAACTAAATTTTTCTGCCAAGGCTGATAAGGCGTCAATTCTACAGACAAACGACGGTGACGTGGCGCATTTGAAATGGCTAAAAGGTGTCACAGACCTAACGCAACTTTGCAGTGATGTTTAAATAATATTTTCTCACGCCCAACTGTAAGTATCACGCATGCGTTTCGTTATAATTTATACAAGTACGCACTATTCAATTCGTTATACAATGCAAACGGATCAATCATTGCCGGAGCAACTTCTGTATTTACTCGCGACCGAATATAACTCCACCACTTTGTGTGCACTCTGAGACTATGTATATTGAACTTCTTTCGCACCGTACATAGCCAACCATGCTAATCGGAGGTGCTGATGAAGGTCAAAAGACTAAACACAACAAAAAAACAGTTCTTAATAAATTAGTTTTCAATCTATATTTTTAAAAAGTGCATAGCTCCAGTGGCTTCCTCATCAAAAGGAAGAGCGTTCCAGATGGCCGCATAGGCGCATCTGAAAGCGCGTGAAGCAGTGATGGTCTTTGTTCGACGGTTAGCCAAAAATTCGATGGTTAGCCAGAGATCGTGGCGATGCAGATGAGACGAATGTCTAGGCTCCCAGGGATTTAGCGCGCTGTCGCGCCAGCAGCACGGAACACTCCAGTTGCAACTTTGCCTCCGTGTATCTTCTTTAAAGCCCTCCCAGAGGCGACTCGGTTGCAAAAGTAAGACCTCGGCAAATTCCAGGATGAAAAAAAAGATCCCGAAAAACCCCAAGGAGAACCTCTCCTTCAAGCCCCCTCGCACAATTAACGTTGTTTGTTTTCCTCCCCCCCCCCCCCCCCCCCCACATTGGTTTTAAACAACTACCCAAAGCAAAACACCTAAACAAACAAACAGAAGCAACTCCAATTCTGCACTCACTCACAGGTTTTTTTCCTTGCAGTTCGTAACGTCATCCATGCTTAGCGTTAACCCGTCGCATTGCCGTGCGCACACAGTGAAGTGTGTAGGTGTCGATCAACGCTGGATGCATCGGTCACCACAAGCAGCAGCAGCAGTCGCCGCTGCCATGATCTATCCACTGACGGATGAAGGCCTCCCCAGGCTGTCCACCTCGTGGTCACGCAAAGCACCAATATCCACCTGGCGCACAATATGAGCGATGTGTTCGTTGCGAGGCTTTTCAGGGGGTGAAGAAGGGGAGGAGGTGGAGGTGAACGGGGGACGATGGGGGCAAAGTGTGGGTTCATTTGAGAGAATGGATCCCGATTGTGTCCATTTGGTTTGAGCTCGCTCCCCCCACCCCATCATGAGCTACCCCCATGAAGTTGTTGATGGGGTGAGCGAGGGGGGTCGAGCAGTAATTCTTCTTTCCAAGCATCGCAGGCGCCCCCTCCCACGCTAAAACAGGAAACAGGTCTCCAATTAAACCGAGGCGTGATAAATGGCCATGAAATTGGCTTAATTACACCTTTAGTCCATAAATTCCAATTATAATCTTTTTTTCTCTCCAAAATCCCTACTATGCCACCTTTGAAACAAACCAATGATGCATGTTTGTAATTATTACGTGTTGGTTTTTTTACACCCCGGGATATCGTTGTCATTGGAAAACTGAAATACACCGCGGGATAAATAACGCATATTCAAACAACAACAACAACTCGCCCTCTTCTTCTGCTCGAATTGACAAAATAAAAACTAAAAGCCCTGTTGCCGAACGTAGTTTTTTATTTGCCCGCTTGAAGGTATGAAATCAAATAAAAAATTCTGGTAGAGGGTACCAGCTCATGGCAGGCAATTAATTGACCCATTTACCCTAGAGGCAATTTCACTTAATAAACATCAAAAGAGAGAATAAATTGCTGGTTAAAAAAAAATTCACAGTACACCAAGCGAAAATTGCCCACAATTTGAAAAATATCAGACATTTTCTATAAAAAATTGAATAACTGCAGTTGTTACCATTATATTACAGCATTACAATATAATGATCTATTTATTAAACACACACTCTGTGTACCATGCATCAACTCACAGCTATAAAATGTTCACCTCAATTAGCTCGACGATTTGTTCAGAACAGCGAAACACACACTAGATTCCCCAACCCACATCAGGCAGTGGCCATGCTAAATCTCCGATTTCTCTTTAGGTTGTACTATGTGCTGTTTGGCATGATGTCCGATGTTTCGCTGAACATGCTGGGAGCTTCTGCTGGAAATCAGTCCCTGAAGTACCTCTCAGCACGTGGAGTGAAGCGTCCAACATTGTAGCGAACAACACGTGGTACCACCCGATCAGACGTGGTACCACTGGTTAGGGCGGTACCACGGTTGTGAGATGTTAACTACTTCACCAGGTATACAGGAGGTTGTGGGTTTGATCCCAACCCCGATGCCTGTATAATTGGAGTTTGCACGTCTCTCTGCCCGTGGTCGCGTGGATTTTTCTCTGGGTCCTCCGGTTTTACCCCTCCACATTTATACTCAACGTACGTTTAGACTATTTGGCTGCTACACATATCCACATGATAAGCCACTTTGTTTGTGACGGCCGGGTCGTTTCTGAAAAAATGGCTATAAAGCTCAGTGGGCCTTACCTGGTAAAATACAAACATAGTTCAGTTTAAATATTGTAGACACCGCAGGCACCGACATCAGTATTAATGAAAGTGCCCATTTTTTTCAAGCAGGCCCAGCTCTGGGAAGCCGACGTTGGCTTGCATCAACGGGGGCACGGAAACTGTGGAGACAATGCCCCGCTTCCTGTGCCGCGTGCAAAAGTGCGGCCGTTGAATGGAAAGCAGCAGCCGCAGCGGCAGCAGCAGCAGCAACGGTTGTAAACTGTTAGCAGCCGGGATTGTGATGCACGCGAGAGGCCGTGAGTGAAAGTGTGGCCAGAGGGGCAGGTGAGAGCTATTTCCTGTGCATATGAATGCATTTGAGAGGCCTTCCTGTTACAGCCCCCTAGACCCCCACTCCCCCCTCAACGTTTCCTCGCTCCACACCTCTGACCCTGTGCAAGCACCCCATGCTTCCTGTATTTTATACCTGGTGGTTTCAAATACGTGTACAGAGACACGCGAATGTGCTCGGGCACATGCCCAAACAAAAAACGCACAGACTCTTGGAGCGAGTGCTGTAGGCGAACGCCTATGAAGGCTGGAAAACAGGACCGGTTCTCACAGTCTCCACTGTCATTCGTCGTGAGCGGGAATCGAAGTCTGCGTGCCGGGTTCGTAGCGCGGTGCGCGAACCACTCCACAGCCACACATTGAGCACGTGCACTCAATGTGTACAATCGTTCTGCTCTTACACTGCAACCCATGGGGTTCCTTTTTTCATTACATTTGATTTCATCAACAATAGACACAGAAAGAGGCAAATGGTGGGAACTAAGGGACAAAGTAACAATAGAAGAAGCAGAAACAACAACCATGATGTGCACAGCCGGCAGATATAAAAAATAATAATAAAATAATCAACTTACCTCAGGTGACATCGATCGAGCAAGGTCGAGTAACAGCTGCGGGAACGGTCCCCCAGACGCTGTTCTATCGGACCTGGTCTTCACGCACCGCCGATCCCAGGTGCGCAAACCCTGTTGACATTTTTTTTTTTGAAATCGTGCCTTCCTGGAAATTCGACCGATCAGTCTGTCAGTTTTTCAATAAATCCGTTCACAGAAAACACTGTACACCTCCTAGCACGGTTGGTCACGTGCGGTGCAAAAGAACTTCTACTACAGCAGCAGCAGCAGCAACTGCAGCAGCAGCAGCAACTGCAGCAGCAGCAGCAGCAACTGCAGCAGCAGCAGCAACTGCAGCAGCAGCAGCAACTGCAGCAGCAGCAGCAACTGCAGCAGCAGCAGCAACTGCAGCAGCAGCAGCAACTGCAGCAGCAGCAGCAACTGCAGCAGCAGCAGCAACTGTAGCTCCCTTTGATGCTGTTAATTCTGCATAATGCACATGCATATGCAGTACTAATCACATTCCTGCATTTCCCATGAATATGCTAAATTCCTCTTGATATGCAAATTCCTTTGTCAATGCGCCCAGCTTATATATATGCTCCAAGCTCGTGTGCTGCTTCATTCAGACTCTGTCGCCTCGACGGACCTGGTTTTCACCTGAGGACGGCTGCTTGCGTTGTGGCCGAAACGTCGTGAGAATTATTTTATTATGTTTTATTTTTATTATTTTATTACTTCCCTTCTACGTGACTTTACCGAAAGAACCAAGAAGATGAACTTCAACATACACGCTGAAAGCCAGCAAAAAAAACATTTTCTCAAACCCTAGTTTATCACGTCATTGCTAGGGTTTTATCGCAAATGTTTAATTATTGCTCATGCTTTCCCACGTTCGGGTTGGTGGCACAGATGTATTTATTTTACTTGCGCTTGTTTAGCAAAGAAAACCTCGCGACTATTTTGTTTAGTAAAGTTCTGCCAACTCTTCGCAGTAGGGGGCGATGTTGTTGGGCGTCATCCCACTTCGGTCATTTGCAGGTTATTTTTCAGCGCCGGGAATTTTTTACCAATAAAAGCGACGTTGTATTTTCTTTAGCCGTGGGAATAAATCTGAGAAGCCGGAGGGAACTCGTGCAGAACAAAGGGAGAAAAAACATACAAACTCCACAGAAAGGAGCCCAAGTCTGGGAATCGAACCCAGGTCATTCTACCTGTGAGGCACACGTGTTCTAGCCGTATAACCCTGCCACAACTAAATTGACCGAGGACAGTGATTATGTTAGTTTTAGGTGACCAGACATTCACTTCATTGAGGCTGTTTAATATTCACGTCTAGCATCAAAGTACAAAGCAAATAAGCCCACTAAAATGTGTTGGGGGAAAAAATCCTGCGTGCGAAGAGATCAATCAATGCTTTCCATCACGCGTTTGTCTTCGGAAATATTCAACTCACAGTAAGGAACCCAACGGCAGCTATCAGAGCAGCATGCATTTTACACATTTGCTCATGCAGGACTTTTGGATCTGGTTTGTCTCGAAGTTTTTGGGCAACACTTTGATCAATTTGGCCGATTTGCAATCACGCAAGCCCCGAAAAGAACGTCAACATGACGGTACAGGTTCGTTCACATTGGGTCATCTTTGCGAGAGTTACCGTGTCCCCCGCCCCCATTCGGGACAGAGCTCGTGCGTAAAGCTTTCAACCATTCGTCGCGAAGCATTAAAAATACTTGTCTCAGAGATGCTTACACAGCCAACGACAAGTTCAGGAAACGTACGAATTCCGGTCTATCGCACCATCGAATGGTGGTGTTTGTTGCTCTCAGCTTGCCGCTTTGACCTTCTGAGCCTGAGCTCAGCAAAGTGTGATTTAAAAAATATATATAAATATATACACGAACGCGTACTCACGCTCGGCTGCACGGGTACGCGTGTGCACACACACACGCGCGTGTGTGTGTGCACTACGCGCGTGTGTGTGCACACGCGCGTGTGTGTGTGTGCACACACGCGCACACACACGGCACGGCTGGTTCCAGCCTCCGCCGCTTCACATCCTTTCTGTCACCCGCGGCTCCGCACAAAGCATCTCCGTGGCTTCTATTGCCGAGCCAGGAAGTGTCGCCCGGGACTCCAATCCCCGTCCCGCTAGGGGAAATTGCCCTTCCCTTTGTGCCGATCGCTGGCCTAAGCTGGGCAGGGATTGTCTCCTCTGAAATCTTTACACTGGCGGCGACACCTGGACACCGCACGCCGTTCCAGTGCGAGCGCGCGGCCAATCCGTCTTGAGCGTGCCGCGAGGGAACGGCGCGTTAAATGATCCGTGTGTAGCTCACGTGATCATATTTGATTTATAAAGCAGGCTTATAGACCGTGCAGACGAACCAATGACATAACAAAAATACGGACACTCTGGAAAAACCCACGAACGAAAGTCAAAAAAGCCACGCTGGCGACACTCGCACACAGCTGATGTGGATGGACGTGCGCACGGCACGCCACTGCTCACGCCGAGGCTAAAGGGGGCAACCAAAACGGCACAAACCAAAACGGAACAAAAATGTGCTGCAACACAAAAACAACGAGACCACAAGATTGCTAGAAAAAACACGATTGGCTCTTGAATACAATCGCAGCTCTGAATCGCGCCCGTTCACGTACTGTACCGTGTGATCCCGTCAGGTTCCGAAAGCCAAGCAGGTTGGAGCCTGGCGTAGCGCTTTTGGCTGCACGAGAACCACGCGTACGACTCGCGTAGCTGCAGACGTTGTTGGCAAGCGGAGGGCAATGCTGCAAAGTCCTTTGTTGTTACTAACCCCCCCACCCACCAACGCACACTGACCGGTGTGGTGAAGTATGGTGAAAAACCCACACTGCCTGCATGGCATTGGAAGATGTTCATACAGCAGCAGTGGGTTGACGTCTGTACGTGTACAATACAAAAGATGACCTTACAAGCGTTCATTATTTTGACAGAGAAACAAACACACTCACATTTACTCCAAATGGCAGGACTATATATATCCAGTGGTGCCCAATGACTTTATACCATCTCAGAAGAGGAACTGACCCAATTGGCTACAGCGCAAAGCAGCTCAGGAAATTACGGATGATTCTGGAAACATTCCAAAATGTGCTGAGAGTCAAACTCGTCGTTTGCAATTTAAATGAAAATAGAAGCACACGTGGTGGCCATTGTATACTGTACGATACGTGTGTCGCTTTCATCGATAACGTATAAAATAGGTGACTCTTTGGTTCTTTCGGTAAAGTCACGTATAAAGAGAAAAAAATAAATTAAATTAGAAAATATTAAATTAAATACTAGCATAAAGTCACGTATAAAGAGAAAAAAATAAATTAAATTAGAAAATATTAAATTAAATACTAGCATAAAGTCACGTATAAAGAGAAAATAATAAATTAAATTAGAAACTAATACATTAAATACTAGCATACTAATTTAATGTATTGTTTTCTCTTTATACGTGACTTTACCGAAAGAACCAAAGAGTAATTCATGCAGTCACGAAAGCTCCAAATTAAAAATAGGTGACGTTTCGGTCAACGGCCCTTCTGCTTCGTAGCAGTCTTGACGGGCGCGTTCCCAGAGTGGGTTTGCTGTTGCTTCGCACACCACTGCGAGTGCAAGCTCGCCAAATGATTTACACGGTTAAAGTGAGAGTGGAGGAGAACACGGAGCTTTTACAATAATTCATAAATTCAGTCTCCCGGCTACGGTTTGGATATGGCACAGCCCCAGAGGGGTACAGCCCACGTGTGGGTACCGAATTGGGGCAACACACAGACGGGGAGGGGGGCGTGTGGGGGTGGTAGTGGGGGGTGGGTAGAGTTTGTGAGTCCCGGATTTTTCCCACCGCTCCAGCCCACTTCCCCTTTTCCCCTGGGTACGGGGCTGAGAAACACAGTTTTAGTTCTGGCTCGACTTACAAAGTTTAGACGTAAAATAGACGCGCAAATTATTTAAGGCACCACTATGCTTTCAGAAATTTCCGGCCTAGAAATAATTTTGTACTTTCACGTTTTTGTGTGTGTGTGTGTGCGTTAGTGCGTTAACAGAGGGTCGGGTTAAATACAAATGGGGGCATTGTGTGCATTTGCAACGGAACTTTTGTCTTCTTGCGTAAACTCGTGAGCATGATCTAATACACGCTCGTCTTGTACACGCTGTTGTCTACAGCACGGACTAAATGCGCAGCTTCAAGTCACTGCATATTGGACAATGGGCTCAAATCCACAGCCATCTTTTAGACAAACCACATTATCATTACAAAACTTGTTTTTTTTTCCAAATCTTCTTCCGATTGTGCTACTGGTGCCATGTCATGAGCTAAAAGTGTTCATTCGGACCTCCTGCAGAGAGCATTGCATCACCCACATTAAGGAATGGCCCACGTAAAGAAGATATCACTGCATCACAAAACTACTGTGCGTACTTTGGTATCACATTCTGCACCGGTCAACATTTGTCCAGAGTTTGTTTGCTGTGAAAAGTGCTGCTTGAGAAGCAACAGCATCATCCCATGAGATAGACACTCGGATGATGGACTATGAGGCATTTTTGTTTGTGTGTGGAGAGATATAATGGAGTTCTGCTTATTTGCTTTTGCCCGTGACATCTCTGTTTGTGATATGACGAACACTATGATACAGAAAACCTTTCAAATGACCTCTTTTACCCACACTAAGATATACTGCAATTCCCCACATGCCCTGCTGCAGAGAAAATGCCCATGATACAACAGTTAAACAAATATTGGTAATTATCACCTACAATTTACCTAAATTATGTAAATAAAAAAACTGGGTTGAGATCATCACTGCAATTGAGAACCCGGTTAAATCCCAGGCAGCTGAGACCTGGTTTCAAACCCAGGCTTCTCAGCTGTGTCGGCTCAGTGTCTTCTGATCCTTGAGCCTCCCGGCCACTTCCAGATTATGTTTTTCGACGTGGCCGAGCCTCGAAATGGCCTAAAAACAAACTTGGACGACGGCGTATTTAACTGGACGTAACCTTGGCTGGAACAGCCCGATCACATGGAGGAGTTGGAGATACTAATGGGAGACAAGAGTGTGTCTGTAACTGGAGTCAGTGCTGCTTAAATAGAAAACCGTGGGGTTATATGTGCTGAAAGGAAATGCGCAGCAACCGTTAAGGATTCTTGATCACGAACTTTTTTTTGTAAACTGGAAAAGGCGCTGCAGCGAACAACTGCAGCCAATAGCTTAAAAAAGTAAATGTGGT